CGACGCTCAGCCCTGGGGGAGAGCAGCTCGGTCGACGCTCAGCCCTGGGGGAGAGCAGCTCGGTCGACGCTCAGCCCTGGGGGAGAGCAGCTCGGGAGACGCTCAGCCCTGGGGGAGAGCAGCTCGGGAGACGCTCAGCCCTGGAAAACAGGCCTTGCACTGGTACTTCACATCTATTTACCAGATACATTTCTCTGAAATTATGTAACATTGGGTGAGGTGCAGTAGTGCAGTGGTTAGTACTATTGCCTCTCAGCTGATCCTGGCCCCCTGCTCCTGATAACGTTGTGCTCCTGCTCTCCTGCTGTGAGGCCCTGGCCCCCTGCTCCTGGTGACATTGTGCTCCTGCTCTCCTGCTGTGAGGCCTCGCTCCCTTCTGGGCTCCCTGGCAGTTGGGCTTCTCTCTTCTTATAGGCCACACCACTTCCTCAGAATTCTACTACTGTCTTACGTCTTTGCGGAATTCCGCTATATTTATTTTGTGATTTTCCACTACCTGTTGAATGCCTGTCGTTCATCGGCCCTCAGAGCTGCTTATCTTCTCTTATCCTATCACCTGTCCGCAGAACCACTCTCTTCATCTCCTGCACTATCTCTCATTTCCAGGCCCATCAGATCTCACGCTTTTTTAAAAGTCCTCTCAGGGATACTGCCCTAATCTGACATAGGCTCTTTAATGGCTATTATAGACAGGGCAAATCTGACAAGCAGGCCCAAGATATTCATGGGGGGGCACCGGTGCTTGAACTTTGTGTGTTTTGATGGGTAAGGGTTGGGGGTTGCCAAAGGTAAAAGTTGTTGACTGGGGGGGGGGGGGGGGTAGTCAATCATTGGCTGATCAGACACGGGTTTGAGGGGGCCCACTTAACTGAAGGGGACCACCTGACTCCCATGATACTGATACTGTCCCAGTCCCACTCTAACCCACTGGGTAACTTGGGCACTGCTGCCTTTCAGTCTGGCTGTCTCTCTGCTGCCTTTCAGTCTGGCTGACTCTCTGCTGCCTTTCAGTCTGGCTGACTCTCTGCTGCCTTTCAGTCTGGCTGTCTCTCTGCTGCCTTTCAGTCTGGCTGTCTCTCTGCTGCCTTTCAGTCTGGCTGTCTCT